GTCAAAACCAGGACAAAACCAGGAACCAGGAAAACCAGGTCTAATCCAGGACAAAACCAGGACAAAACCAGGTCAAAACCAGGACAAAACCAGAACAAAACCAGGTCAAAACCAGGACAAAACCAGGACAAAACCAGGTCAAAACCAGGACAAAACCAGGTCTAATCCAGGACAAAACCAGGACAAAACCAGGTCTAATCCAGGACAAAACCAGGTCTAATCCAGGTCAAAACCAGGACAAAACCAGAACAAAACAAGGTCAAAACCAGGACAAAACCAGGTCTAATCCAGGACAAAACCAGGACTAAACCAGAACTAATCTTGGACTAAGACTTGGAATATAGAACTGCCCCTGGGGTTTCCGCACAGCGCGATCGGGCGTCGGCTGCGATTCGCCCCATGGAGCGCGGAGTCCTGCATTGGTCCTTTCAACAGCGGTTACCCAACGGTGATATTTGTGTGAATTTGTATGAAGAAAAACAAAAAGCCTACCACTTCAATGCATATATTTTTGTTTATTAAAATAAAATGGAAAATATTGGTAGGGACTATTTTGCCTTCCTCAAATATCGGTTGTGACATGTCCCCACCGTCCCTGTGTAAACCTACAGCCTTCACATTTGGTTCTTCCTTCAGTTCCACATTGGACACATCTCCAGATCTCGAGTCAAGCGTGGTCAGTTTTATCTCAGCTGGACGATCTCACATTGGTCGTGGTGGGTACGTCCTTGATTTGCAGCCTCGGTGGCAGCTGTAGAGTGTGGAGTGTGCGAATAACGAGTATACGCTGTAGTGCTTCGAGAGGCTTGTCAAGTCTCTTAAAGCGCAATGCAAACGTAAGGCTTTACCGAGCTTCCTCACAGACAACAGCACAGTCCTTTACAAACAGTGCACCCGGGTGATCTGTGGGTGATCTTTGGGTACTGTCCCTGGCTCTGCTCCTGCTCTGTGCTGTATATACATGTCATAAAGCCTGCAGTACTTGTGTATTTTGATCATGTTCTTCGCACGCACTGATGTTTTCATTGTGTATCCACGATCCTACACTCTCCATACAGGACCTGTACCAATTTATTTTCTTTTGTTACCAAATTAAATAAATGAAAGATTAGTGCTCATCTATATCTACCACATTAAACTTAAACAAACTTAAAATAACAATACGCTCAATAGTCTAATATATACCTCATAACAAGGAGGTTTTAAGATCAGATTTTGTTTGGTTTCAGAACTGAATAGTTTTTTCTTTTGCATTATGGATACAATTCTAAATCAGCAATGTCCATAAATGAAAGTACCCACTGGCGATGTGATAAAGAATGAGGGGGTTTCCATCTAACAGCAACCATTTTTTTTAGCAGCTGTAATTCCCTCCAGAAAAAAAAAAAAAAAAACTTTTCTTGCTCTCTACTCAAGCCAAGCAGAGACATATCATTAAGAATCACAAACATTTATTTATTTTTATTTTATTTTATTTTATTTTTTTATGCATTTGTTATGGGTGTGTGTGTTTATGTGTATGTATGCACATGTATGTAATTTGTATATATTTCGTTTGCATCATTATTAATGTAATTATTGTTACTTTATTTTTATTATTATTTTCTGGTCAATATTACTATTACTATTGTATTTTTATTTTATTATTATTTTTGTTTATTTATTCTTAAAATGTTTATGTTTTTTTCTTTCTCTTAATTTTATTATTTGTTTTTATTATTATTATTATTATTATTATTATTATTATTATGATGATGATGGTGGTGATGATGGTAATAATAATAATAATAATAATGTTATTTAATTATTATTTATTATTATTATTATTATTATTATTATTATTATTATTATTATTATTGGTTTTATTTTTTATATTATTATTGCGAATCGGGGTTTGGGAATGGGGAGAAGGGAATTTAAATGAGGCATTTGTATACTTGTACATTTTGTGGCATTATTGTGTGGCCATAAGACCACAATATAGGAACAAAAAAAATTTATCAAAAAATAAAATAAAATATATATGAAAAAATAAATAAATAAATAATCAAAACCAAAGGTGAACAGGGAATATTAGTAGAAGAGACAGACTATTGATTATTACCTTCCAAAAGTAAAAAACAAACAAAACAAAAAAAGCACCTGGGCATTCCTATACCATGTGGAAATAGATACCTAATGAATTTGTATGGCAAAGAGTACAATTTGGGTTAGTTCTGCACTTCATAATGAAAAGTTTACGGGGTGTCATATACGTCCTGTGAATAAAGTTCAGATGTATCTGTTGATGGTCTGGGTTCTTAGATGAGCATATTGGTTCCCAGTTTAACCAATTTATTTTCTTTCCCCATGTTTTTGAGCAAATTGTTGAGCACATTTATTGACTGTGTGTCTATTAGAAAACATTTTGTGAAGGTTAACTGTGGGCGCTGCTTTGTCTTGAAGCTCTGTTACTAAAGTTAGACTTATTAGAGTTGTTTTAACACAGTCTGACCACAAAGAACTGATGAACTGCGGTGATCTGATTTGTGCTGTTAAACACGTCCCTCTCAAATAACATTAGAGTCTCAAGCAGGCCAGCATTTGCATTTATAATTGCATATTAAAAGACAAGATGACACAAAAGAGAAAACATGGACTTGTAAGTATGCAGGATTGTAGCCAAAGCTAATTTCTATCCCCAGTCCCCCGCTGTGCCAAGGCCAGCCGGAAAACCCACGCAGTTCATAAAACACAACAAAAGCTACAATAACAGCTTCCACATTAATCTCTCACTCATACACTCTAAAACAGTGTTTCTCAAAGACTGGGTCACGACACTCAGGAGGGTTGCAAGAGATTTTTTTTGGGTCGCATTGACACGATTTGCATGTTGGTTTTCTAAATACATATACATACATCTCAGTGCACAGTCCCACTCCTCACTTTTTCAGCAGCACCGCCTTGCCTAACCAATTTTCTGTGGGCAAGACTGATTACTGTTTAGAATTTTTACAAACTTGAGTAATACTGATTGTTCAGAGAGACACGATCACTCAGTCAACAATAAAATATCCTCATTAAAGTTCAATAATGGTCAAATCCATCTTTATTTTGTGATTTACAGATAATGTCCATTGACTTGGGTCACGAAGGTTTGGGACTTTTAAAATATGGGTCTCCAGGAAAAAATAGAAAAAAAAAAGTTTGGGAAACACTGTTCTAAAACACTGTTTCACAAAGATTGGGTCGCGATCCTCTTTTTTGGGGTCGCCTTGTCACGATCTGCATGTATGTCTGCAATATACATTTCTGACACATGTTGAAATGTTAAGATGTTTTGTATAATTTCTAATCTTTTAGTAATTATTTTATTGACTATTTTGTTTCAATATTGCTGGTTCAATTGAATGTTGAAAAGAAAAAGAAATGGGCTACATTTAATATCCATATAGGCGACTTATGGATCTTTTTATTGCTGCTTCAGTGATTGTTTTTCATTGTTTTAAACTTGATTCACTAGCTCGGACCACACCAACAACGACATAGTGCGAAGAAGTTTATTGATAATGTATGAAGCGGGGCAGAGATGGGTTGAGACTATGGGTGTGGGCTCCGTCTGAATCTTAAATTGGCCCAGCTGGAATGGGACCCCCCTTGTATGCGTCTTATGACTGAAAGACGAAATAGGGGTGGGAGGGTGGAGTCGAGTTCGCCGAGACAAACTGAGATGATGGGAAAGGCTGCTACATATTGGCTTCTGGGAAATTAGAGGCGTGGTTGAGGTGAGTTGTGGTTCGCTGGTGAGGGCGATTGAGGCGTGGTCCTGCTCCTGAATCTCAGTTAATCATATTAACTACATGTAATACTAATTGTTCAGAGAGGCGTGATTACTCAGTTAGTCAGTGTTCAATAATGTTCAAATCCACCTTTATTTAAAGGTTGTATGGAGGATTTTTTTTTCAGTTTTAAATTGTCAATGAGAGTTTAAAATACCATTACAGAGACGCAGCAGCCTTTTAATTATGATGACCAAAAAAAAAAAGAATGAAAATCGATCAACTGTGGACGTGTTGAGGCCAGATAAACATCAGCCAATAGGAAACAAGGCTGCCTCATTTTCTATTGGCTGTTGTCAATCAAACTCCCTACGTTTCTAGTGTAACTGACTCGCCGGCGTGTGGGGATTTCGTGGTTTATGCAGCGGTTCTTAGAGGCTTTTTCAAACTGTCGCTTCCTCGCAGTTCGCACAAAGTTTGTTGCGATGGCGGACGAGAATCCACGACCAGTTCGCCGCAAAAGAAAGTCGGTTTACGAGGTCGCTGAAAGAAGAAGAGAAGGAGAAAAGGAGCGAAGACAAACTGAGGTGATTCTTGGAGATTCCTTCCAGAGAGACGAAGGGACTAAAAACTGACGCGTCGGTCGCTAAATTACTTCTAGACGGGTCACTTCAACAGTAATTCTGAACGCGCACTGACTGTAAACAAGCATGATTTCTAGAGTAAAGAGGCGGGAGGAGATGTTTCTACTGAGGGAGCTGTGGAGGAGGAAGGCGGTGTCACGCATGCACAACATTTGAAAAAGGACTGTATTTTCACTTCCCTTAAAAAAATCCTCTATACAACCTTTAATGATTTGGGTCATGAAGGTTTGTGACTTTTAAAATATTGGTCCACAGGGGGAAAAAAAAAAAAAAGTTTGGGAAACACGGCTCTAATACACACTCAAACTTACAGTTACATTAGCTAACAGTTTCATTTATTTTATTTTATTTTTCAATTAGTCATTCTCATTTTTTTTTTTTGTTAAAAATCAAACACTTAAATGGGACCATGAACACTCTTGGAAATGTTTAATAATTTAAAAACGTATCATCTAATCTGTGCATTGTGTCACCATGGTAACTGCTGAACATTCTGCCATAGACACACAAGCAGAACCCCCAATGTGATGTCATGGCAAAGTATCAAACGTGTTCATTTCCCTGCTCACCTGTTCCCTCCTCTCGTCCGTGTCCCCAGGCCTCAGTCGTACTGGTTGAGCCACCTGCAGTCGCTGCTTTACTGCTCCGAGAACAACCAGCTGGGCACCTTCTCCGAGGAGCTCCGGACCTGCACCTGTAAGGCGGACCACCTGCCCTGTCAGCTGCCCGCCCCCTGCACCATCGGGGAGGGCTCCGCGTGCGCCTCGTGCGCCCCGGACAACCACACCCGCTGCGGGACGTGTAACCCGGGCTTCGTCCTCACGCCCGGAGGCTGCAGGCCCATGGTGGTGGACTCCACAGAGAACTACCTGGGCTTCGAGACCGACCTGCAAGACCTGGAGCTGGGGTACCTGCTGCAGAGGGCCGACCGCAGACTGGAGGTAATCAAAGTTCATATGTTTAAGGTCCTATTTTTCTTCTTAATGTTATTTCATCGTCAGAAATACACCAAGGTCGTGCTTTGTTTCATTTGCTTCTAGTGTCTTATATAACTCACTACATTTCCTCCGCACTGTGGTAGGCTCAGAAAGTAATTATTAGCAGTAAAAAGTAAAAATCAGCCTGTGGAAATCCATGAACCTCAAAACACCTTCATCAGGCGTTTTCAGATCATTTCATTTCTGGGTAGAGTCCTCCAAAAAGCTTGAGTTGAGTAATGCAATACAACTATGAACCTATCAAGGACTAGGGCTGGGTATCATTAGGAAGTTGCCCCAAACGATACATACCTCGATACATAGGCCACGATACGATACATATTTCGATACAGTGCACTTTCATTTCGATACGATATATTTCAAATGGATTCGATATGGTTCGGTAAAAAATAATGGCTAATCATGGCTGTGATACTAAAAGTCTTTGTTAAACCATGTTGTCAAGGGTTCGTCCGAAATAAATGTAAAGTGATGGCTCAGTTGAAAAAAAAACTTTACATTAAGTGCGTTTTTATTCACACCACAGTAGAGATGCGCGGATGGGCTACTTTTTCATCCGCAACCGCATCATCCGCCCGCTATCCATTTGCAACCACAGTTTTTCAAAACCGCACCCGCCCGCCATCCGCTCGGTCTCCTCCCATTTGCTCCGAGTTCAGAGTTTTTATTTGAGGAGTGAATCCGCCACCCGCCCGAATTTAATTAAAATATTATTTTTCGTCACATCATCCGCCCGACCCGCGGTTTAGCTGCGGAGTCCGCGGTTATAACCGCAATCCGCGCATCTCTACACCACAGCCCAATGTGCAGAGTGGAATATTTACAGTGCAAAATGAGGTGGTATAAGGAGCTCCCTCCTTATATACCCCTTAGCCCAGGGGTGTCAAACATACGGCACGGGGGCCAGATCCAGCCCTCCAAGACCTTTAATCTGGCCCTCGGCTGATTTTCTACTAAAATATTTCAATTATATTTTCTATTAAAATATTGTTAATTTTCTGTGGTGTTTATCACAGCAGCGTCTCCAGCGTCTCTGTACGTGGCCCCTCCCACCAGAGCACAAATGAAGACTTGTCTCTTTCCAAACGCTCTTAAAGGACGATCGTTTTGACTGTTGACCGTGACACCCTCATCAGAAAAATGACCAACATGAGAAAAGTGGAGCCGAGTGCAGGATTTTCCAACAAAAATAGACTTATTCCTATTTGCAGACAAGTTCATGTTAAAACATTGTGCTGAAATTACATTGTTCTTAAAGTTTCAGGTTATTCATAATATTATAATATTTTGTAAAGAAAGAGTTCATCAATTAAAAAAGATTTCTCTAATAGATTTGTGTTTCTCTGCACAAATATTTGAACTTATTGTTATTTTTGGGGTTTATATGACATGAGTTTTCTGATCCGGCCCCTTTGGGATCAAAGTCGGTTGGATTCGGCCCCTGGACCAAAATGAGTTTGACACCACTACCTTAGCCCCTCCCCCTGGGCTAAACCAATTAATGAAAAATGGGGTTCTAAGGAGTTAACATAAGCAACACTGTACTGATGAACACAAATCAACTTGGAAATAAACATAATAAAAATGACTTAAAGAACCCCTCATATGGTTATCTTAAATTCAATTAAATAACTTAAAAAAGCAAAATAACACCCCAAATAGACCGCAATGATCGAGTTCGAGATCACATGTCCACTTTGAGCGCGCCACTATTTGCTATTTAAAGCACAATCAGGAAGAGCCTCGGTTTGGCCCCCGAACCAGAGACCGGTGCCAAGACTGCTGCAGGTAAGAGTGCGTGGGCGTAGGCGTCGAGTGTGCACCCTCGAACGCACTAGCCGGGAAAACAAGGTTCAAGGTTCTTTATTTGTCATTCAAACATGCGAGAGAAACACATGACAGAACGAAATGTGCTCCCTGAAGCCCAATGATCCAGAAAGAAACATTTAAAACAACAACATTTAGCAGTCCAGTGAACAAGTAGTAAAACGTGGCAAGATAGAGAGAGAGGCAACCCAAGCAGTCCAGATCTCGGGAAAACAAACAGGGAAAACTGCGTAGAGACAGTCTATCGGAGCTTGGGGGGGGTGGGGAGTACTCCACGCACTCTTGGGTCAGACGAAGACGAAGGTCGGGTGATGGGCACACGGGCGCCCCGTCACGCATGTATTGTGCAAAGTTCATATGAAAAAGCCCATTTTAATCATCAAAACAGTGAAAATGTCAGTGCTGCTCACACAAGTTTCCTTCCACTAAACAAGCAACAAAACTGTAGCACTGTAACAAAAAAAACAAAAAAAACTAAAACTAAAATATACAAAAAAAAAAAATACTCTTGGTGATATATTGATTCAGCTGCCCATGATATCGATACTGTATCATCACATCAAGTGATATTTTGATATTTTTGCACATCCCTGTCAAGGATCTTCTGAAGTTATGAACTTGGATTTCTTCTCTAATAAAATGAGTAAAATAGACAGAATATAACACAGTATGTATGGACATGGAGTCAAATGAGAGACACGTGTAAAGCAGTTTTTATGAGCTTTTCTAGTGTTCTACGAGTGTTCCCTCACCATTAGCTCACCATCAATTGTATTTTCATTGAGTCATGGATGTCTGGGTAATGCTGCATTGTCCTGCTTCTGATGCTTAGTTCGTATTACCGCTCACTGCTCTGTGCTCGATATTCCAAAAATACATACTACAGATCATAATGTACAAATGGGTAAATGAAACTTTGGTGCGTGACCTGTCAGTTTTGCTGTTTTGAATAGAATGTCAGTGGACCGTGTTGTAGAATATAAAGTAGTCGCCTGAGAGTTGAAGAGAAGAGGGAGAAGAGCTGGAGTTCTAACACAGGGAGGTTTATTTACATCAGTGCAGGACTCAGCTCCCGGACACATGAACCCTCAAGACTTCATGTTGTCCATTTCATTCTAGTGCAGTCTGGTGTGCCAGTGAGTGCCCTCATTACAGCACGAAAATCTATTTTCTCTCATTTATATTCTATTCTTATTTATATTTCCATTATTAGTCTGTTTTAAATCAATATTATACTTTGCAATGATTAACATGTAAAATAATGAACATTAGATTAAAGCAGATTTAAGTAACTTTCAGAGATAGAGCTCTCTATGCAGCTCCCTCTTGAGAATACAGCCAGGGAACAGACCCAAAAGTGCTTTTTTCTTTTCTTCTCTTTTCTTTTCTATTGAAATAAGGCAGTATAATCAAATACAAAAACCTATAACGCTGCCAAATATTAAAAAAGGAGCCCGGGTTTCCTTGGAGAACTCAGGACGGCCATGATGCAAGGCTGGTCTCCCTCCCAGAGGAAGAGAGATGGCAAACTCTCTAAAATACATATTGAGCCATCACAGAGACTTACAAAGAGGTTTAAAAAAGTCCTGCTTTAAATCTAAATACAGAGTGAATGACACGTTTAAAGAGCAGGTATTATGCAAAATCTGCCTGAAGTGGTTTTAGATGTCACACATGCACGTTTCGTTAATTTACAAACTGTTGCAATTTGCAGTAGTTTCATGAACAGGAAACACACTGAATGTTGTGATGGTGCTCTGAAGGGTGAGTGGCAGCCCAGAGAGCAAAGGAAGGAGAGACACAAAGCATTAAAAGTTTAACTTTATATCAAATGAGAGCATTGTGCCTTCAGAGTCTTCTGTGACAATGCAACCAATAAGATCTGAATGAAAAGCACCTCATGCTGGGAGGCAGACTTCAGGCTCGGTGCACTCGCACTTTTAAGTGTTGGAGGTGAGAAACAGCGAAGCTGGATCCATGTTTCTAGGCAGCGTCCTGGAGGAGGCGCTGAGGTCCGGGAGGACGCTCGCTGTCTGCGTCTGACAGCTACAAAGAGCTGCTCCGCTCAGAACCAACGCATCAGGACGAGGTGACGAGATGTACTGTAAAAGCAAAAGTACGGCTGGAACACTAGTAGCATGCTAATTGTTGTTAGTATTACTCTGACAGAAATATTCCGCTCTTGCCTCTGACACTGTGAATAATTCGGATGTATTTTTCACATTTCCAATATGCTAAAACTCTTTTTTTTTTTTTTTTTTCTATTTTATGGCTTTCACCATAACGAATAATAAATAGACTAAATTAAAGATTTTTAAAACAAGAAAAAACTGTGTAAACTGTGTTTCCAGGAGATTGTAGCTTGTCGCAAAACTGAAATTTGATCATATTTTTATTAATATTAGTGTATTACACTAAATGGACTCTTGTGAGCTTTAAACCATGTTAGAATGTTGTTACTTCATCAAAAACATACCTGGTGTTGTGTTTTGTTTAATTCACATATGTTTGATTAAACCTGCATATCTGTCTACAGCTCTAAAGCTCAAACTGCTCTGTTCCACCTTGTGATGTCATGAAGTGGTAGTTTTCACCTTTTATTTAATAGATATTGGCAATTCCAGAGGTGAAATTATCCACATGATCTAATGATTCTCTCTGCTCACCCGGGTTCAAGTATCCTGGGGTCTTGTTCACGGGTGAGGGGAGGATGGAGCGTGAGACTGACAGGTGCATCGGTGCAGTCGGCAGTGACGCGGTCGCTGTATTGGACCGTTGTGGTGAAGAAGGAGCTGAGCCGGAAGACAAATCTCTCCATTTACCGTCAATCTACGTTCCTCCCCTCACCTGTGGTCATGAGCTCTGGGTAATGACTGAAAGGACAAGATCACGGATACAAGCGGCCGAAATGAGTTTTCTCCGCAGGGTGGCTGGGCGCTCCCTTAGAGATAGGGTGAGGGGCTTAGTCACATGAGAGGAGCTCGGAGTAGAGCCGCTGCTCCTCCACGTCGAGAGGAGCAGCTGAGGTGGCTCGGGCTTCTCTTCCGGATGCCTCCTGGACGCCTTACTTGGGAGGTGTTTCGGGCATGTCACACTGGAAGGAGCCCCCAGGAAAG